ATATATTACTCAAGAACAGAAAAAGCTTATAAATATGTCAGGATCCTAAAATTATCACTAAAGTAAGTTCAGTTTTATGATGTAGAATATACATTGTATAGACTACACATTATAGTGTATAAACTGGCACCACTATACCAATATCATTTTATATGTATTAGAACATTGCTGAGAAGTTTTTACCTGTATAGTAGGGACACCATATTAAAGCATCCTTGGCAACTTTCCTAAGTGAACTTTGTCTGCAATCAGTCCAACCTCAGCAAAATGAGCCAACTGGATACTCCTCCTACTCCTCACACCAGTTCTTATGTCTGTACCCACAAATCCAGAACTGTTGGCAAGTATTAAGTATTCTTCAATTAGAGGCAAACTGAGTTGTGATCAGCAAAGCCACTAATGACAGAAATATGTCTCAGTAAAAAACATATTTGGTTAATTATTTCCTTTTAGTACTGCTATTCCAAAAATAGTTGAATCGTTTATTAAATGAAAATAAAAAAACAAACTGTGGGGAATTCCAGCTTGAGCATATCAGCGTGATATCACAGCTATTTCCTGTGCTGCTGCTAAGACAATTAACCTTGGTGCCAAAACACAGAAATGTTAGATTTCTTCCCCAAGTCACATTTTCACCATTTTTAACTTTGAACCAAAAAAGCTCTGATTTTTTTGATGCGACTCTATTACTGTCTGATGTTTTTAAGCAGTTACATGAAAGGCACAAATGCAGATTATTTTATTTATTTCAAATAATTATGGACAGCCGGACACAAAAAAAAAATAGAAAAATTGAAACAAAAGCAGAAATGACTACAAAGCAGTTTCACAGAGAAGCCTGTGAGCTAATTCATACTTACATTTATCGTATATTTAGAATCTGTGTTTATTCTAAAACATACAGCATCAGTATTTCAGTAGATAGTAGGACCAATTTAAGGGTCTTAATGTTAGGTCTTCAGAGGTCAAATTTGCTTCCTCCATCACCCCAGGCACAAAATTGAATTGGCATTACTTGAAGACTCTCAGTCTGGTACAGAGAAATAATCATGGGCCTCCCATAGCAGCCTCTCGCCACCTCCGCACCATTCTCTTTTATTTATAACCCATGCCAGCAACCAATGAAAGCCCCCATGCCACACATTTCCACCCACCACATCCACCTATTACAGAATAAATAAAATCAAACTTAGAGGTGTTTTTCACCTTGCAAAATACTTACAAACCTAAAACCACTTGGCTTGCTGTATGTTTGATTGTCAGGGTCTCACTACTCATGATTTCACCAATTTAGTTTTATTCAGAGTTCTAGTAAACCGCTTGGATGCAAGAAGTGCACTCAAAGCTGCTTGGCCTAAACTAAGGAGAAGCTACAGCATCGAATACTCAATGAAAGCTTTGAGTTTCTCAAGCTTTGTTCTGTGGGAACAGGCAGATCAGCGCCAATCATCCTCGTAGTTGCTTGTGGGGACACTAAAAACAACTGATTGACAGAGGTATAAGCAGTATGACCCCTGCTGGTGACTCAAGAAATGGAGAGATTTTCCATCTCATAATTAATAATAGAATCCTCTTCAAATGTAGGCTTATGAACCATAAGAGTCATGCACCCACAGTGGTGTTCGATAGTAAGGATGCTGAAATATGCTGTCACTGTATTTTATACAGTCAACATGTATACAGTGTGCATTGCAAAGTCATCACATCATTAGGTGACAGGGGACACAAGAACCTCAATTTGCCTTGTGCACAGCAACAGCAAAGTCCTATTGATCCCATAGTGGCAAATGTCTGGTAACACTTGTTACCTGTGTTATTACTGGCTGGTGTTAGTGTTAAAGCTGAACTCTGGACACAAAAACTTTAATACAAATATATTATTCAAAAGCCACACAATATATACATCCACTTTGTGTGGATCAGATGTAAAAGTAGCGCTGACATCATCACTGTGCTGCACATACCCTGTGCAGAAAACAGAGTTGTGGTTGGGACCCAGTAAGTCCACCCAGTGCAGGCTGCTTGCCGAATCCTAAAGGAGGGGGCGGATACAAGACCAGTCACCCTGCATGAGGAGAAAGAGCAGCACTAGTCTTTATTACAGGAAACTCCAGCACAAGTCGAGTCAAAGAGTTATTTCAGTCTCGATTACTGCACAGAAATACGCAAAGGACACCAAGATTAAATGAAGAATACACATGGCTCTCGTTTTTAGACAATATTGGTTTTGCCCAGATTTTAGCATTACATTTAGTCTTTAACTGGATCAGTCCAACAAAACTGTCAAATTTGGATTTTTCTAAACATTCAATTCAGAAGCATTTTCTGTTATTTTAAAACGACAACATCAGAGGTATAGATGATGCTTTCTCCTAGAGGAAAAGAAAAGACAATGCTTATTATTCGCTTTCCAGGGCCGACGGTTGCTGCTGATAGAGATTTGGGGGAGCCAGGTTCCTGCAGGGCGGTGTAACAGGTGGCTGTGGGACCAGAGAGAGAGCCATGGCTCTCTCTCTGGTCCCACCCAGCTCACTGGTTGCCAGGAGCTCGGTGGGATGCCAGCCAGAGTGTCCCGCTCAGCTTCTGGCAACAAATGAAGTCTGTGAGCTGGGCGGAGAGCCAGACAGAGCAGACAGAGTGTCATAGGTTGCTAAGAGCTCTTAGTAAATTGGGACACTGTTGCCACCCCTGTAATGCACCCCCCACACCTGTCACCCCCACTAATGAGATGCCGCCTGAGGCGACCGCCTCTGGCTGCCTTGATATAGGGACAGCCCTGTTGCTTTTAGTAAATTATGGCGCAAGAGTAAGGGTTCCATCTATAATTTTGTATCCTGAAACCAGAAACTGATCTAAATATTTACTATTGCTACTAGATGTTTTCTGAGGTCCTTGCAAGTGTATAGTTACATGAATATGCAAAGCAATATTGTCTTTTGGATTTTGTATGATTATAATGTTAACACCAGGCTTGAATTATTGTTTACTGTCAGTATCTCGAAAATACCAAATTCCAAATTAGACAGTTTTTTTGTTTATAAATAAAGCTTGAAAATGCTGCTATATGTGGAAGGTTCAAAGTGTAAAATGCTTACAGATAGTAGATATAGCTTATTATGGCCATCACATGGGCACAGTGGAGGCAACTATTTTAAGGGCTGAAGTGTTATTTAAAACTATATATTCATTTTTAAAGTGCTGCACACACCATCATTGATTCAGCTGTAGTTCCCAAGAACCAATCACTCAAATATTGTCCAATGTGGTCACATACAAATGGATCAAGGGGGTTTCATACCAAGGTCAAAAAATCACATCTGCCAAAATGTCAGATAATGAAGCTGGCACTATTCATTTTTCTATTGGGGGTGGAGTGGGGCAGAGTCCAGTACCCTGTGGGCTGTTTATGGCAGTACCATGGAGGTTAGAAAAATATATGGTAACTGAATATCCACCAGAGCCTTGGTTCTCAACTGGTGGGTCGTGACCCAAAAGTGGGTCGTGACCCAATGCACAGTGGGTCACCGCATGCCTCCCACTTTTCTAGGCGAGAGGCTTTTCAGCCTCCCCCTTGCACATCTCTGTCAGTTCTGGCACCGAACAGCCATATGGGTTAGGATGGAGCTATGGCATATCCATACGTGCATTGCTTACAGCTCCCTCATTGGTCCTGTAGAGGTGCCTGGACCAGAGTGACATCATATTCTGGCTCCTGGCACCTCTACAGGGCACGCAAGGGAGCTGTACAAGCAATAAATACAGAGCCGCAGCTAGCTCTTTTTGGCAAGAACAGAAAATTGTGCCCCCCAACAGACATGTGCGGTATGTGACGTCATGCACCCCGCCTCCAGGATGGAGTCTTTGCACATGCCTAGTAATGTGTGCGTGAGTGTGGGTGTTTTTATTTTTATTTTTACTGTTGGGGGGCTTCGGGGAAATATCAGGGATCTAAACAGACCCCTGATATTTCTCTTTTGAAATAGAACAAGAAATGAGGACACGGAGCCTGGGCCGCCCCTCTTCTCCCTGTCGAGCCGCGGCTGTGTTGGCCGCCTGGTGCCACTGTTGCCTATGGTGCCCTGTGCTCGCCATGGCAACAGGGGCGGGGGGCGCAGCCAGGCCGGTCCTTGCTGCGTCCCCTATCAGCTGCGCCTGAGGCGAGTGCCTCACTCGCCCCATGGTAGCTACAGCCCTGAATAAATATATTGGATGGAGCTCCGTCACAGCACAGCAGCCCACACTGGACCCCAGGCTGAGGATCCACTTCAGTTCTTGTAAGATAGGGAGACTGGGTGGATCTTAAAAATAGTTTAAAAAAATATTTTTTGGGAGTGTGTATGTGTGTGATTGTGTCTGTGGTTGTATGTGTGTCTGTCAGTGTTTTTGAGGGCCTGTTCACACTAGAACAGTGCGTTAATCGCACAATCCCCTGCGATTAAAACACTGTACCATGCAAAATCGCACCTACTGTGCACTCTGGTGTGGGAGGTGTGTTGCATTGCCATTCATTTGCACCTCCCACCCACAGTTTGATCGCCTGCACCAGAACGTGCGGTACTGCAATGCCGTGCATTCGGTGCGACTTCGGTCATGACTTAATGACCAAGGACTAATGTGGGTCCTGAGGTTAGACAGGTTGAGAAACACTCCACTAGAGGACTCTGGAAAACAGACATGTTGCATTACCTGCTCTCTGCTGGGCATAGGCTGGTAACATTTAACTGAAAACCTAAGCCAAGCATGTCAAAGCCGGGGATGTTGTGGGATGTCCAGAATGACCTGTTTGTTGAGTTATCTATTTGGCTTAGAAATATATTGCTTCTAGAAACAGAGACAGGTTGACTTGCATATTAGGAAAACAATTCAGATACAGAAAG